AGTTATCGATGTGAATAGATAATAATCAGCGCGTTTCTCACACCGACAACTAATTCCCAATAATGTGCAAACTAGACTATTTCTTGTGTAGTATATAAGCTTTGTTTTAGCCTTCTTAACTAATTAATGTATTGTAGTTCACGTGCATGGCATATTGCTGTAATACTTAATTCACGAACGGCAAATTGTTTTTACTCTTAATTAATAATTATAATAATTTTGAAGTTCTTTTAAATAAAGTGTAACTACAAATTTTGGATATCTTTTTAAAAAGAGAAACTTCCAACGTCGTTCGTTAACTCTATTTGGATGACATTCTATAACAATATTTCTTGTAACCTTATCGTGACGAAAATTTAAGTGGTAGGTATTTCCTTTAATACAATAAAATGAATTATTCAAAGTTTGTGAATAATAATGATCGATAGAAATAAAATTTACAGATTAAACGAACTTACCTAAGTGATGTTTAATCATAATTATATGAAGGCCTCGTCGAAGTAAATAAGACGACTGTAGTAGCTCTATTTGTTATCGGTTCTCACACAATTAAAAGAAAAGTAAGCAATCCCTCCGTCCGCACCGGAGTGTCGATTTCCGTTGTCGATTGGCTGATTAGTCATTCCTGTTCAAAGCTGGAGTGTGTTGCAAAATATTGGGACGGGGAAGTACGGGTGGGTCCTTATTTACTTCGACGAGGCCTTCATATAATTATGATTAAACATCACTTAGGTAAGTTCGTTTAATCTGTAAATTATATTTCAGGCCTCGTCTCGTAAATAAGACGACTGTAGTAGCTCTATTTGTTATCGGTTCTCACACAATTAAAAGAAAAGTAAGCAATCCCTCCGCCCTCACCGGCGTGTCGATTTCCGTTGTCGATTCGCTGATTAGTCATTCCTGTTCAAAGCTGGAGTGTGTTGCAAAATATTGGGACGGGGAAGTACGGGTGGGTCCTTATTTACTTCGACGAAGCCTTCATATAATTATGATTAAACATCACTTAGGTAAGTTCGTTTAATCTGTAAATTATATTTCAGGCCTCGTCTCGTAAATAAGACGACTGTAGTTGTTTAAAGCATATTTTTGCAACACATATTTTAAAGCAAGTTTATTAACATTCTTGAAGTAACAAAACAGTTTTTGTTTATACACACTGAAATTAATCGTAGAATACATTTTTATAAGGGGCAAAAAGATAAGCCAACATTTATGCATAAAATGGTTTATTGTTTAATCCTAAACCTATCCTTATGTCCTAATTGGAAAAAAAAATAATAAATTTTCATATCCCTTATGCTTCTCATTTCATTTTGTGTTTAACACCGCATTTGCGAACGTAGTGGGTGTTAATACTAAGGGTTTGTTATAAAATATCGCAAAAGTTTTTGATTTTTCTGTCCACCCCGCTGCAAGCCGGATGGTATCATAATTGACACCCCTTCTGGCTGCAGCAGAAGTAGACGCGTGTCTGGTAGTATGTGCCCCAAATAAATTTACATCAATACCACTCTTTTTTAATACATTTTTTAGTCATCTACTTAAAGATTGAGGGGAAGCCTCTCGGTAGGGTCTTTTAAAAGTTATGAATAACGTGGAGATGGAGCCTCTAATGTCCTGTGTTTTTTCCAAATACAAAAGTAAAAATTTTGCGGGACAAATATTTTCATTGTCTTTGTAAAAGGGTAAAATGAGAGTAGGCTGTTTCTNACCTTTTCTTCGCCAAGGAGTAATTATTAGGTAAAGGTGGATGCCCCTCCAACCATGGTAGGCGAACCTTTTATCGACCTTCCCGATCCTTCCCAAAGAAATCTTTCGCTGCTCGTGCCGTTTCATCACGAGATGTTTTAACCGACAGTTCCGAAATACCTAATACATCGATTTCCCATAAGTTTGTTAAAGACATATCTTGTGAAAACAGGGATATAACAATCATAGAGCTTGTATTGCTTCGTTGTTTTTGTGGAATCTTCCCCATCAGTGTCCACCCAAAAAAAATAGTGTTTCCATGGCAACCAGACCACAACCCAAAGTATGCTTTCGCCCCGTATATATCTTTCCCAAGACATCCGCTCTAATTAGAAGCTCGATGGGTGCGGAATTACCGACGTCATTTATTTTGATATTTACATCGGTCAATTCAGCAATCCGAGGACCCGTGGGTATGGGAGTGACATTATTACAAATTCTTTCTTGGTCTAGAATTTCTAAACAATATTGTGTATCCGCCGTCTCCAGTTTGATATTATAACATTTGTGTTCCAGTTCAGCCGTATTATTTCCTCCAAACAACGAATGAATCATTTTTTCATATCGTATCGGTACAAGTTTCAACTGTGACGCAGTTGCCTTCAACATATATGATTTTTGCGAACCACTATCAATTAAAGCCCGAATTTCTTTCGAATCATTTCCGTTGTTTATTTTAACACGAATAGTTTGCAAAACGATGTGAGCATTAGAGTAGTTCGTCATTGTTTGATCTACGGAGCCGGTACCAGCAACGCTTACCTTGTTCCCGACAGTATTATATTTATCAGCTGTTTCAACAGGATCTTGTTTAGGTTTCGATAATTCAGAACACATCAAAGTTAGGTGAGGCTTTCCACATAAAACACACTTTAAACGTTGCCGACATTTTCGCGATTGGTGTCCGATTTTTAGACAACGAAAACATGCCCCAATTTTGGCTAAGGAGTCCCTTTTTTGATCCAGCGACAGTTTTTGAGCCTTAAAACATTTTTCACTGTCATGTTTTCCTTCACAAAATGCGCACTTATTTCGTAGTTCATTATTCACCAATCCGATCGCGGTAGGCACTGTGTTTAAATCAGCCGATTTTTGTTTGGTCTTCCGTGTCACATTTTCACGTGAGTTAGCACCTAGATCAAACCCTTCCATTGCGAACACGATTCTTTGCTCATTTTCCAAATCATTTTTAAGGAAGCACATAATTTGATCTAAACGATTTTTTGCCATTACTTCTTGAGAACCTTCCATCTCCGTTTTACCGACACTCAAAAACCCCGAAGATCTTTGCCACATCCTAAGAAGTCCCTCCGGTAGACATGATTCAATAAGTGGGAAAAGCATAGCCGAACACTTATCACTTGTAATACCCAACGTTTCTAGAGCGCGCATTTGGGTTTCGATTCGATCGTATAACGCGGAGAGTTCCATTTTTTCTTTAGTTGCTGCATTACTTATAATCAACTTCAGCAGCTCACGCACATAAACTTCGATTTGGAGATCTTCCCGCCCGAATCTCGACTTTAAACTGTCTATCATTTTTTGATAGTTTCCGCTTACTGGGGGAAACTCTCGACTAATCGCCTAGCACGACTTTCCGGAACAGTTGCCTGAATGAGATACCCGATTTTGTCATTATTATCAATTTCAGGGTCCAAATGAACTTTTTCGAATTGTCCCCAGAACTGCAACCACTCGCGAATATCACCACCGTATTTTTTCAGTTCTATCGTGCGCAACTTAAACTTTCGCCTAGCTGTATCCGTATCGCCACTTACGAAATCGCGACCTTCCGGTAATTGTCCCTCCTGCCTCTGAGGATCACCGACTTGAACTTTTAATGTGAAAAATCTTCTCGAATACTCATCCGAAGATTCCATGTCTGTCATTAAAACTTCCTCCGTAGCATTTTCTTGCAGTAGACAATTAAAAATTTCCTCATCGACGATTCGTAAGGCATTATATTTTTGTTGGTTAGGTTAGGTTAGGTTCAATTAAAAATTTCCTCATCGACGATTCGTAAGGCATTATATTTTTGTTCCAATATTTCCCAGCATATAGTTAAAGGGGAATTGTCCTGTGTCCGTGAGGTTAATAATTTGTCCAGCTCATTCGCTGTCTTTGTGGATGTCATACGAAGTGCAGTACGCTGTTTTCGTAATTGCTCCATACTTCAAAACTTGGTTCGAAACCACCTGCTTTAATCAGTTCACACGTATGATTGTCGCGGTAAAAGTTTATTCGTAGAGCAAAAATAACTATTTTTGCGTATCTGTTATCACTACACGTCCTGTCACGGTCGCCAATTAATGTTGTGTACTCGAAAAAACTACCCGTCCAATCTCGTACATCAGTTCGGACGTAGTGAAAATGCAGCACTTCAATAACAAGACAAATTTATTTCACAATTAACAAAAATATTATTAGTAAAGGTAAAGGTCTGAGTCAATCAACTGCCGATTTAAGACTACTATTTTTTCTGAACACCGCAACAGCGTTTGGTACATATAATACTGAAGACATAACAAAGCTAACTTTATAAACAGTATAACGATATGATTCATAATACAGTAGTCGAACACATGAAACATAAAAATATCTAAAAGAATGAAAACAATTTAGCATTTCCCCAACAACTACAATTACGCTACCAAATGATAGCGAAAAGTATTTAAAATTTAAAAATTTTAAAAATAGGGAATATGTACCGTTCGTAATATATGCAGATCTAGAATGTTTACTTCTTAAATATTCCGTTGCAAATTCTACAAGCAAAACGCAAAACAGAAGAACTAATTGTTGATGTTGGTGACAGTAATAGAGATTCCCATGATGACAGTTAATGTGAAAACTAACTATAAAACAAAAGCAATAGGTTTATTTTTTCTTTTTGGTAAGTTATGCTTCTACATTATTTTCTAGTACGCTACTGTTCTATCTGTATTAATACTATAATTTATGCCTACTGAAAGCTTATTTGTGTATCGGTTCCAAGTGACTTACCCAAATAGGTCATAAATGGGCAAGTACCTGCGCGACCGCTCGCCAGCTTCCTTCGTCCGACGTATATAGAGATAGTCATTCAATTCCAGTAATTTTTCACAATTTATCTGGGTACGATAGTCATTTTATATTAAAGACTTTGTGTACTGAAATAGAAGGTCATATTTTGCTTATTACCAGTGAATAAAGAGAAGTATATTTCGTTTTCAAAATATGTTAAAAATACAAATATAAATTTTAGATTTTTAGATTCATTTCGCTTTATGGCTAGTAGTTTAGATAAATTATCATCTTATTTAGGTAATGAACAAAAAAAAAATACTAGAAAACATTGTTAAAACGAAAAAGGATTAGATTTACTTTAACGTAAAGGTATTATTCCATATGATTATCTTGATTGTTAGGAAAAATTGAAAGATACAAAATTACACTCAAAAGAACATTTTTACAGTAGAATGTCCAATTGTCATGTATTTACGATGTTTCGCAAACCTTTGAAATAAAATTTGCAAGAATATGCTGAATTATATTTAAAAATTTAGATCCACTTGTTGGATGACGTATAAATTAGATAGTTTGCATTATTACACTGCTCCTGGACTTGCTTTTGATAGTATGCTAAAAACTACAGAAATTGAACTAGAATTGTTAGCTAACATTGATATGATAATGTTTATTGAACGAGGTATTAGGGGTGGAATATCACAATGTAGTAACCGCTACGCGAAAGCAAATAATGTACTAAAACAGAAATTAACGAACTAATTAAAAAAGATGAAGATAGCGTAGTAAAAAAAGCTAAAGGAATAACAAAAGCACCACTTAAGAAAATTAAGTTCGATGATTATTTTAAATATCTGTTTCACAACAAACTAGTAGAGTTTAATAAAAACGTAATTATTTCAAAGAAACATAATGTATAAAGAGCTAACGTAAACTTGCACTCAGTCATTATGATAATAAAAGAATAGCAAACACATTAACAACGTATACGTATCCATGGGGATTTAATTTTAAGATAATTTTTAGACTGCTAAGTATAAAGGATAATTTATATAAAATAAATGAATCATTANACATGGAAGCACTTTTTTCAGGGCTCCCATAGCTAATAACGTTGTAATACAAGTTTCTATAAGTACTTGTTCAGTGGCCGACCAACTCCTGTGTGTTACTGTTTGTTGTTTAGGGTGCCTTGTAAAAGGGATCTTTAGTCCTTTGATCCAACCTAACACAGTCTTATTTGTCGTAATAGCTTTCCAATTATGATAATATAAGTGAAGGCTACCTGCTAGAGTACTGACCTCTAAGGGCGGCGTTGTTGCGTCTTCTTGGGGATTTGGTGGTTCTGGACCCTGCTCTGCCTGGGAGTTGTGGGAGCGTGTTGGTAATGACGGCTCCATCCCCGACGCGTTCCCTGTTGTTGAAATCGGGGTGGAGCTTTGTAGTTTAACGACCTGCGAAATGACGTGGTTTTGTTGATTGCCCCAGTTTGTTTAGTTTTGAGTAGTGCTTTTGTGGCTTGCATCAAGTCTTTATTGTTTTTAAGACGCTCCTCCAGGTCGCTGCCGAAAAGTAAGGTGTCTCATGGGATTTCTTTATTAGCTTCTTGGAAATCCTTATTTAAATTTATTTCGATTAACTCCCTTCGAGTGTTTAATTGAGTGTGCCAAATGTTGGTCATCAATCTTCCTGCATCATGCAGTAGTTGAATGTATTTTCTGTTGCCCCCTCCCCCTCTTCTGTCAAAATTAGATTAAGAAGTTGACCATTCGTTGTGAGACTTGTGGACAACTGACGTTGGAGGTTTTGCAGTTTTACGTCGCGTAGTCTATGAGATTCTGACAGGACTCTTTCAACCTGAGGGTTTAAGAGTGGTGCTGTCAATATACGAAAGTTTTCGGGCGGAGGGTACTTGGTAAACAATTCCTGTAAACAGTCCTCAGACAATCCGGAAGCCATAATGCCTCGCCACCGCACTATCACATCCTTGTGAAAGATGGGTCCCCATGCTAGAGAGTCAGGGTTAACCTTTCCCATTATTTCGAGAATGTCCTCACTCAACGGAAGGTCTGCTGAAGTTTGTTGTTCCTCCTGCCTTCCTGAACCCTCATCTGCAAGGTAAGGTCAGGAGGTAATATAAAAAATCCTAACACTGAATGATTATTCAGGGAGTACTAAGTGCTCAATGACTTAGAGGATTTTGTAGCGAATGCTCAATGATTCGCGACATAATTGCCTGAAAGTGTAGAGAATACTCATTGATTCGCAACAGAATTGCCTGAAAGTTTTGCCAACTACCATACTTATAATGTGAATACTCATTGACTCACAAAGACGTTTGTCGAGTTCTCAATGACTCGAAAGAAGAGTTTGACGAGTGCTCATTGACTCGAAAGATGTTTTCATCGAGTACTCAATGACTCGAATGAAAATTCGTCCCCGAAGGGTAAAGAGACGTAAAAAAAAAGAAGTTGATCAATGAAGAAGTTTGATTGCTTACCAACGGTAATAACGTCCGGCTTTTTGCTAGTCGCCTGTGGTTCCCTGTCGCCACGCTGGTGGCGTTCCTCATCAGAGCTGGAGACCTGCGAGTCGCGAGATAGGGAACGACTCGAACCACTTGATGACGAAGCCGACGGGGAAGATGATAAGGGCCTTCGATACATTGACCGGCCTTTCTTCTCCATCACTTTTAGGCGTTGGTCGATGTTTTCAATCAGTTTTATCAGTTTTCTCGAAGCACTTTTGTCACTAGAATCACTTCTGACACTAGCCCGGCGTTTACGAATGAGTTTCGGCATTGTTGCGAAATAGGTTCACGAGGAAAAAGAAAGTCTGGTGTTCGATCCGACACACAAATAAAGAATGACTAATCAGCCAATCGACAACGGAAATCGACACGCCGGTGCGGGCGGAGGGATTGCTTACTTTTCTTTTAATTGTGTGAAAACCGATAACAAATAGAGCTACTACAGTCGTCTTATTTACGAGACGAGGCCTGAAATATAATGTAAAATTAAAACTGCAACAACTTGTATAAGTGAAGAAGTAATTTTGGACACGAGTATTTATATACCGTGTTCTGCTGACATCACAGGAAATGCCTAACTTGTTTATTTTATCAGAACAAGAGATTGCATTGATCTAATAAACAATTTGTGTATACAATGATATCATTATCTTAAGTCGTAGAATAGTTTCTTTGTATGAAATTAAGACGCAATATATAACTCGCGTTTTAACTATGTTACCACGAATGAATATCTTATAGTGTTTTAAAATCTTCTGTTATGTTATCAACTAGCTCTCGGTAATTTTTAACTTTGTTATTCCCTAAAAATCCAAAAACCACTCCTTTAAAACTATTTTGTTGAGCACTGGTAAATAATTTAGGAAATTCTTCACTGGCAAGAATGTTTTTAATAAATAAATAAAGCGGAATTAATATATTTTCAGGTTCAGCAATAGGTTTATATTTTACGTTTTGTTTCCCACTACGAAATTCACTTGTTGGTGGTCGTGATTTTTGAATATAATGTAAATTNTATATAATCAGGTTTTTTTCTTAATCAAATTGCCAACTTGTGCAATTTTCTTCTACCCTCCCACTTTGTCACCAATTTGATATCTACATGTTTTCTTACATTTTCCATGATTTTACCAAACACTGACATTATTCATCAATTTATATAAATTTTTCTCAAACTCATTCGTAGCTTTTAAGATCTCGTTTCATATGCGTTGTACATTTTTGCATTACTATTCAAAGAAAAAGGTATTTTGCCACACCGTATTTTCGTACAAAAACATAATTTTAAATTAAGGTACCCTGCATATGTTCTACAATTTCAGATAATTTTCAAAATAATATAATGAAATATGGAAATATGATAATGAAAATGGAGATCTACTTGAGCAGCAAACCATTTTCTTGAAATTTGTGGAAAGTATAATGGACAAAGGGATATAAATATCTACTAATCCAATAGACTCCAAATAAACAACTTCTTTAACATCAACCGCTTCGACAAGAAAACCTGCGACATCATCTACCTTTCCTTTAGAATGGTTATTTTCTTTATGGGGGAAATATGTTGACGACCTTAACCAAGGAACCTACGCTTTTTTCAACCTATTCACTGGAGAAAAAACACCAGAAAAGCTTCTACCTTTGTGGAAGTATAACGGACAGGGAGATAAATATCTACTAATCCAATAGTAAGGAAGTAGACTCAAAATAAACAACTTCTTTAACATCATCCGCTTCGACAAGAAAACCTGTGACATTAAAATTTTCTTTATGGGAAAAATGGCGATGGCCTTAATCAAGGAACCTACGCTTTCTTCAACCTTTCCACCAGAGAAAAACACCAGAAACGCTTCAATCAAGGAACGAGAGCTCACAGTCAGTATAGCTAGTTAAGAAACCTATTTTCACTGTTTTTTACTTTACGATAATATATCATTATCGTATACTTTGTCATCAACTTAATTTGTAATATTTCAAAATAGTTTCGAAAAAGTTTGTCAAGTTAGCTAATGGGCGCACAAAAAAACTTTACCAGCACCGGTACATGTCAGTACGAGATTCTGTTTCTTACGTTTCTTCATATTGCATCCGCGGAAGGGTGTAGCAGCATTAAATGGAACCCTTGTAATTAAGAATGAATTCGTATCCGTTGTTCTGCCTTACACTACTTTAAGTGGAAATATTTTGTCATCGATTGGCACAGTTTTGACTATGCGTTTCTTTAATTTTAACAAATATGTTTCAAAATAGTTTCGAAAAAAGTTTGTTAAGCTAGCTAATGGGCGTACAGAAAAAAACGTTACCAGCACCAGTACATGTCAGTATGAGATTCTGTTTCTTACAGTAAAATGGAACCCTTATAATTAATGAATGAATTCGTATCCGTTGTTCTGTCTGTTAGCCTTACACCGCTTTATATATATATATAATATATACATATCGTACTTTGTCATCGACTGGCACAGTTTTAACTACGCTTTCATGTTATAAAAACGAAAGCTTTGAGAAAGTTTGTTATGCTTCTAATGGACACACAGATATCGTAGAAAATATTCGAAAATGTCATTTACGCTCTCTATTGGCCGNTGATAAGGGCCTTCGATACATTGACCGGCCTTTCTTCTCCATCACTTTTAGGCGTTGGTCGATGTTTTCAATCAGTTTTATCAGTTTTCTCGAAGCACTTTTGTCACTAGAATCACTTCTGACACTAGCCCGGCGTTTACGAATGAGTTTCGGCATTGTTGCGAAATAGGTTCACGAGGAAAAAGAAAGTCTGGTGTTCGATCCGACACACAAATAAAGAATGACTAATCAGCCAATCGACAACGGAAATCGACACGCCGGTGCGGGCGGAGGGATTGCTTACTTTTCTTTTAATTGTGTGAAAACCGATAACAAATAGAGCTACTACAGTCGTCTTATTTACGAGACGAGGCCTGAAATATAATGTAAAATTAAAACTGCAACAACTTGTATAAGTGAAGAAGTAATTTTGGACACGAGTATTTATATACCGTGTTCTGCTGACATCACAGGAAATGCCTAACTTGTTTATTTTATCAGAACAAGAGATTGCATTGATCTAATAAACAATTTGTGTATACAATGATATCATTATCTTAAGTCGTAGAATAGTTTCTTTGTATGAAATTAAGACGCAATATATAACTCGCGTTTTAACTATGTTACCACGAATGAATATCTTATAGTGTTTTAAAATCTTCTGTTATGTTATCAACTAGCTCTCGGTAATTTTTAACTTTGTTATTCCCTAAAAATCCAAAAACCACTCCTTTAAAACTATTTTGTTGAGCACTGGTAAATAATTTAGGAAATTCTTCACTGGCAAGAATGTTTTTAATAAATAAATAAAGCGGAATTAATATATTTTCAGGTTCAGCAATAGGTTTATATTTTGCGTTTTGTTTCCCACTACGAAATTCACTTGTTGGTGGTCGTGATTTTTGAATATAATGTAAATTGTAAATACACCCTGTAGTCTCATTAAAAACCCTACCATCCAAAAAACTCCAATGAACTGCCACTTGATAGTTCAAAGCTCCGGCTAAATTTTTGACACTTTCATAGTCTTCTTTCAAATGTACATAGTGAACGACTTGAAGAGATGGAAATTGATTTCCGTTATGTAATAAAACTGTTTTCAGGCTTTTCGTCGAGCTGTCAATAAATAAACGCCACTCACTAGGAACACAGGGCCTTCCAATTCCTTGAAACAAACCTCTTATGTCATTACAATAGCAAAGTCCATCTTCTTTGGTAAAGAACGTAGCAAATGTCTCATGCCGAATTCGTTAAATTTTTATTTTGACATCAACAAGCAAAAGCTTTAAACGAAAACTCAAAAGTTCTGCCTTATTGCTAGGTAAATCCAAATCTCGTATTAAGTCATTAAAGTCTTCTGAGGTAAGAAAATGGGGTTTTGGTGGTTCTTGTGACAATACAAATTCTTCATCTTTAGTATTTTTATTTGAATTTAGATGAGCTTGATTGAGATAAATTTTTAGGAGGTTCAGGTATGTGAGATTGGAGCAGAAGGTGAAGCCAGATCAGGATATTCGATGGGTTTTGCATTTCTGCCTTTACTTCTTTTAGTAATGAAACACACGGCACCGTCTAGTCTCATAAAATTCTAGGTATGTACAGTTCGAACGGTCAATAGTTGTTGTTAATTCAAACCGAATACGAACACCGATTGACTAATCGTCCGACCCAATGCAGTCTGCTAAACCACGAACTTGCTCTCCATTATAGGTTTATTTAGAATACATAGAATGTCTTTATCCCTACTCTTTTTCTTTAATGAAGAAATTAGTATAAACGTAGAAACTCACATGTAAGGTTAATTTGGGGCAAATGAAAACAGTTCTTATATNTATCGTACTTTGTCATCGACTGGCACAGTTTTAACTACGCTTTCATGTTATAAAAACGAAAGCTTTGAGAAAGTTTGTTATGCTTCTAATGGACACACAGATATCGTAGAAAATATTCGAAAATGTCATTTACGCTCTCTATTGGCCGTACAAAACGTCAACGATGACAGTAATAATAATAAAAGTAATGTTGACACTTAAAAGTCCGAAGTGGAATCGTATTTTTCAGTAATTATATTTTTCCATATAATGGAACAAAACATTATCAATAAAACAATATTGCTGATTTGACACTTTTATTTAAGATTCTACACGGATTAGTTGATTGTTCAACTATGTTATCCAATATCAATTTTCATGTTTCCTCCAGACAAGTTCGCCGTAATCAACTTTTTGCTGTTCCTTTTTCTTATACAACTTCATCGGCAAACAGTCTGCAGAGTCGACTGCACAAACTGAGAAATTTAATATCTGAAAGTGTCGATATATTTCCTATATCTTTGTCTTCGTATTCTAGATTCATAAATAACCTGTGTCAATTTTAGATTTTGTCACTGATTATGGTTCTATATGTATTATTAATTGCTTTCTTTTTTGCTATACATTTGGCTGCTTTTCTTAGTCTTCTTAGTTAACTATATTGCTGTGTTACTATTTATACAATTAATTTTATTTTTGTCAAAGAGAGTTTGGACTGAGCGAATATATTATATTAATGTCCTTATGTAAAAAGGGAGCATTCCCGTTTATTGAATAAATTATTATTATTATTATTATTGCTATGAAAACCAACTATTTCTCTCTCTTCAGGCGATAGATGGATCACCAGCACGTCTTCTTCTTTACTTTTTTTACGAATTTTATCAGGATGAATGAATACTCACTTAGTGAAATGTAAGAAAAATTACCCAATGCTAGCTTTCTTCGTCTCTTGAAAAACTTTTAATGATATACCTTTTATTCGGATATCGTTCCTTTTTTTTGTTGGGTTTGCTATGAAAACCAATTATTTCTCTCTCTTCATGCGACAGATGGATCACCAGCACGTCTTCTTCTTCACTTTTTGCGAATTTTTATCAGGATGAATGAATACTCATTTAGTTAAATGTAAGAAAAATTACCAAATGCTAGCTTCTTCGTCTCTTGAAAAACTTTTAGTTATATACAAAAAGCGAGTATTTTACCACGATTCTTCGGGCATAGTACGTCTCTTTGTTATCATCCCTTTGTTATACTCTTAAAAACAAAGCAATAATGCGGATTGGGGTGCCATTTTAAACTTAAACTTAATTCGGTCGTATGTAAAACTGTACGCGCAACGCAGTTAAAATAAGTTACATCGGCATTGTCAAATTCGTCTGGAGCTTCATCAGATGAATAAAATAAGTCTTCTTTGTATTAAACTCAACGGTAAATTTGAAGCCCTATTTTTATTGTTGTCGTATTTATAAAATATATTTGTGTATTGTCAGTCAGTCAAGTTTGGGAATATCCTAGATACCTATATTGTCTAGTCCAAATGTCATTCGCATATGTGTAAAAAACATAAAAAATTGTTCTAAATAAATTACTACTGTAATAATAAATATTTTTAATTTTACATTTGTTACTTTGAATAAATAAAAGTGGTCCAATAAAACTTTTACTTATTTACCTGAGGAGGTACCTGAAAAAAATACGACAGTTATTTTCCTGAAATACGAAAATAAATTTTGGTATTTGCGCAACCGTCTAAAACTTTTTATTGTTATTTGTTATTATTAAAATTTTTGTTAATTTCCATTATATAGTATGAATAAAAATAATATTGCGCAGCCGTCTAAAACTGTTATTGTTATTATTATTATTATTTTAAATCTCCATTATATTTATGTATATGAATAAAATTTACAGATTAAACGAACTTACCTAAGTGATGTTTAATCATAATTATATGAAGGCCTCGTCGAAGTAAATAAGACGACTGTAGTAGCTCTATTTGTTATCGGTTCTCACACAATTAAAAGAAAAGTAAGCAATCCCTCCG